TTTAATTGCTTAAAAAACAAACGTTCACTTCTGTCAATTTAAGTAAGATTCATAAGCTTCTATATATTATTAAACAAAACGGACGAAGTACATTCATTCAAATGAAATATTTGAAAGTATATAGATTTTATCTTTTCAACCTTAATAGGTATATTAAGGACATTGAATCATAACTTCCGATTTAATCTGATTCACTCTACTAGGTTTCTCGTTAGGTTTTATTTGCATTACACATACTATATAACGCCTGTATGCAGGTGTCCACAAATTAACTTTTTACCCCAGATTCAATTCCCTGACAGCTAGTGTCGGGCGTCAGACAGTCAGCCAGATGTCCAGCTGACAATCCGACAAACAATGCCAAGCAATTAATGACTGAGCCCGGCCGTTTCCTTTGCTTGGGACCCTCCTCCTCGTCCTGATCGAGCAACAAATTGTGAAAAGCCTTGCGTGCATACCAAAAAGTGAAAAGCCGGGCAGGAAAGTGAGGCAAGGAATCATAACGGCCACTTTCCGAGGTGGCAGGGCCATAAAAAAGGACTTAGGGGTTGCGTAATTGCAGTTAACTACTAGTTCAGCTTCCCGTTTATATTTTGGGGTAATTTTTGTAATTTTTTTTGCAAAGATTTTCCGCAATTTTTGCCGAATTTTCCGTCGTTTTTGTGTGGCAGTCCGCACAATGATGGAATTACCGCGGGATTTTCGCGCGAATTTCCGCTCTAAGCCGGAAGTGGAATTCCCAGGAAGCGTCAGCTTAGGCTCACAGAAAGGATTTCAGCGCCGTAACCCCCATTAAATCGCTCGTGCCGTGCCCGTTGTTTACATTTAACAATAACTGGGCATGAAACCGTTGTTTTGCCGACATTTTAGTGCCAACCTTTCGATTCAATTTATGCAAAAGGGAAAAAAATTAACAAATATCAACCATAAATTAGAAATGTCAGCTTCATTATGCACATGGCGCTGCATAGTAATTAGGCAGCTTCTCGCGTCCTCGTAGCTCTCTGCAAACTACCTATAAATTTATGACCACTTGATGAACTGCACCCGGATCCGAGTCGAAATCTGGGGTTGGGCTCTCACACTTCGTCCTGGTCGCTGGTTGCCTGGTTTGCTGGCTTGCTGGCTAAGCTCATTTGCATAACAATCAACTCATCGTTTGTGGTACAGCTACCATCTACCATCTACCACTCCTTGCTGCCAGGATTTTTCCATTTTCAGCTGGGCAAAAGGGTGCCTGTGTTCCTGTGTTCCTCCAATGCTAATGTTTCGCGTACACTGGCAGCGGGTGTGAAGTTGTAAAGTTTAATGTATTGTTTGTCTAACAGTTTATTCATTTGGAAAAGGAATATATTTGAAATGGCATAGTCAGAATGTGACTAGAATAAAAAATTGTTCTTATTTGGGGTTGGCTATTCGAATAACTGTTTCCAAAAAAATTCTTTTAATAATCATTCATGTGTAAGGCCATTTGTTTTCTTCAACAAAATTTAAACTGTAATTATTTGTCAAGAAAGTATATTATACGCAGAGTAAATATCTCATATCTACGCATCTGTAAACCTTTTTACTGATGTATTTATCCTCATAATAAGTTTAGTCAAAAGTATTGTAATTTATAAACGTCAACTAATAATTGTTTAAAGCCTATTACATTTTAGATATATAACAATTGTTTGTATATTTTTTTTCTATATCATTTTTATTTTTATTCTGAAACTTTCTCTTTCCATTTTTACACATGTCTTAAAACTTAAATAATAAGTATCCATTATGTCCTGAAACATGCATTCATTTGTTTTGTCCGCAACCTTAATCGAATTTTCTGGTCCTATCGGTCGTGGGCATGAACATGATCTCAATTCGATTTGGCTAATAGAGGAGCATGCACGATATAGTTATCTGATTCTTGATTTACATGTGTTAACATTTTTGCTTTGTTTTCCCTTTTCTGCGTACCACTTTCTGGCTCAACAATGTGACACAAATCTGCTTAAATTTGACTAAAACCGCTCTGATCGGATTAAAAATCAGCGCTTGCATAACATTTTACAGTTTCAGTCGAGGGACTGCTGCACACAAATGCGACAGATTGGCTTCCTTCCACGGACTTTGTAACATATAGAGAAATAAATAGGTCCCGCTTGGGGTACGGGTACTAAGTGTAACAAAATACTCGAGCGGCTGTTTGTTTATCCAATGTTTTTCGGTTAGATGAGCACACAGCTCGAAAGCGACAAAGGTAGGGCACACATCGCATCTCTCCCTGGATTTTTTGTTTTTTGTACTTGGAACAGTAACGTATACGAGGTTGCACACCCCGGAAGGCTCACGAAAAAAATAAAAACAAGATCCCGTCAGAGATTTCACAGATAAACCAATTCGAGCAGGGCAATGAATGGGCAAAAAGGTCGAGCAACTTGCCGCTAAAAAGCGAACGTGTAGCTGCAGCACCAAAGCGAATGTTTGATCAGGACCAAAGGGGTAATAAACAATAAAGCCGGGAACTGCTAAACACACGTGCACCGGCAAAGGGTTCAAAAATGTGTGCCAACTTCTTGCTAAAAAGGCGTAAAACAATCAATTCGGCAAATAAAATTCGATTTGCGAAATGGGAATCGCAAAAGGGCAAGGACAAATTGGCGCGGTGTTGTCTGGAACGGTGTGATATATGATCTTAATATTTCATGCCTGCCAACGCTGGGGGTGAACTCTGATTTCGTTTTTCATATGCATATCCAACCTTTTGACCTGAAATTGTATACATGGGTAAGGGTTTCCGAAAATATTTATTAAATAACCAGAATCGTTGGTTTTTGTTTTGTTTTAAAATGTAAATTGAATTGAAACCCTCTTACAATTTTAGGGTAGTTATATTATTTCGAACTTCTTTCTAACATGAAAAAACCACAGTTTTTTAATCTTAACATTTAATAACTAATTAACACAGGCAACAGAAATTTTATTTTTGAACTCTTTTATTTTGAAACTGTCATTTTGATTTATAAACTTTCAAAATAAAGCTCATTTTACGGTATAGAAATGCAAAATTGTAAAAAACTTTTCAAAGTAACAAATAAAAATACGAATATGTTTGGTCACTGAAGCAAAAACCACAGCATCTATCATATATATCGTTTAGTAAATAATTATACAGAGTTTCGGTGAAGAAATACTAAAGAGACATACATTTAAATCTATTACTTCTTTCACAAAAAAAAACTTCAAAGTAATCAAGGGATAATCATGTTTTGATTCGATAAGAAAGCATAGTATTTGTTATGGTCATTTGTGTTTTATCTATGCAGACAAATCCCTGCATATTTACAGAGAATCGATTTCATTTGGGTATCTGCCAGTCGAACCCTCCGCCATTAGCCGACCCAGATCCTTTGTGCCGTCTCATCGGACCGCATTTGAATCGCTCTCCAAGGACCTGCACTTGTCGCAGCCGAAGATGCCATTGTGTGTGCGCCTTTTAGCATGTCCATGGCAATTTGTTTCCATTTTGGCTTGCTTATCGCCTTATGGCCATCGCCAAATTGTTTTTCCAGCCTCGCACTGCATTAGCATCCGGCGAGGGGAGCAGAGCCGTAGATGTCGTCATTGATCCGCCGATAGCCATCGCCACGGAGCCACCCCGTCCGCTAATGATGCCAGCCGTGCCAGGTTTCGTCCTCATCCCTCGACCAGAGTCCTGGAAACAGAATGCAGCTTAGCTGGCCCGCCCGCTGCGTATTTGCGCCTTTGCCGCACAACGGGATAAGGGAATGCTGGACCCATGCCGGTCCACAATAATGATTATTGTAAGGATAAATCCCGACACCTCCAACAAAGCTGCTCAAATGACAAACGCCGGCTTAGTTGCGGACATAAAGGCGAAGTCCTACTTATAACCCCAAAAATTACCAAAGTGCAGTTTTCTTTTGCCTGTTATTTTCGGAGTTATTTAGAACAGCCACAAAGAAAAATTTATTGAAATGCAAGAGTTTTAATTAAAAGATTTCTAAATACATTCAAACGTTGTTCTGTAGTTTAAATGCTGTAATGTAACATAACTTTTCTTATAGAATTTGAATCTGTACTCAAAAATTAGCTAAGTAAAAGAATAAAATTTTAATTCTGTGCTAAGGACTATTCAAATGGAAAATACTTACTTTTGGCCATGGTTTTAAAGAATTTAAAAAAAATTGAGCTTACCTTAACTTTTCTTATTTATTTTTTGCCTTTTAGGTGAAAGAAAAGACTTCTAAGTATACAAATCCAGTCAAATAAAAATCAATAGAACAAAGCTAGAAGTTCTTAGAAAAATCTTTTAAGCCGCCTTTGCAGTTATCCCTTTTTAAAATTGCAGCATCTAGTTGGATATGGGAACATCTTAGTGTAATCCTTGGGTTGAGATGGTTTTGCAGCATCTTCCACACCTTTTCACCCTTGCCTCGTAACGGAAAATGTCAGTCAGTCAGTCAGTCAGTTAGGCAGTCAGTTAGGCAGTTAGGCAGTTTCCCTCGACTCTTGCTGGTTCATTCAACTAAATAATTTGAGTGGCATTCATGCAGGTCCACTGGCTCATGTTTCAGGACTCAGGATTGCGGGTCCTGACTGCTGCTGCTGCTGCTGCTGTTGGTACATTCGTTTTGTAATTGTGTGGCAGGTGACGGGCAATCTTCCATTGTTCGAGGACCAAAACCCGGCAGTACGGAGTTCAGTTTGTACTTGAACTCACCCCATGTCGAATTGTAAGGGCGAAAAGTGCCCCCTACGATAAAAACGAGCTGCAGTGCACACACACAGACACACTCACAAACACACACAAGGCCATTCGTTTTATGTGCACTGCAATATACAATATTTATTTGAATTTAAGTCCTTTGTTTGGGATCTGAAATCCGCACAGAGCCGTTCTGATTCCAGGGTTGTTTACTTTGGCTACTATTTTTGACTTTGCCCCGGAGTTCTAACATTCTCTCTCCATTTACCCATCAATTTTCAGGCTCTGATCGTTTTGATCGTCAACTTTATTTGCAAAAATAAATCTTTATGGCTTTACATCGAAATTCAATCTTATCACTTTAAAGTTGTGGCCCTGACTAGCTCGCTTTCCTTGCATTGCAATAACTGATATAGAATCTGGCATAACCTGCTTATCCAAATACTTAATCGATTGTACATCCATAAGATTAACTATGACTAATACCTGGTACATTTCAGTGGCTTATGTGTATGCTTATGTCTACGATGGCAAGGTACGTATCCGCTTACACTAAATGGACAACCGATTTGTACTATATAGTCAAGAAGTCGGGGAATATGTTGAGAGAAAGAGTGTTATTTTGGGATAAGCACTCTTAATTCAAATATTCACTAGAGATCCGCAAGAAAGAAACCAATGCATTTTGACATGGACATAAAGTAAATGTGAAATTATTGACTTAGTGTTAAGTAAATATAGATATAGATTTTTGTATAAGACTGCAATGGTTCGTCTATTGAGGATCTCTCTATAACATGAAATTAATTGAGTTCAAAGATTAGCTGGAGTTTACAACTTGGGTTTTTTCCAAGTATTTCCAAGTTGCAAATATAAAGATAATCTAAGCAGTCAATTTGTGTCTCACTTACTACCAATATCAACGGATTGCGAGGGATTCGAGGAAAGTAAAGTAAGGAAATCGAGGGATAAGATCCGTAAGTCACTTTTAATTACTTTCAAAGTAAGTCAGGGGAGTATCTCCTGAGGATTTCCTTAAATCAGTTTCCTGCGTATCCCAGCAATCTTCAAATATATCACGCTGAAAGACCTTAGATCGCGGTTTTTGGCCCCCAAAAGTGTGCTACACCTGCGGGGCGAACTGCTTGTAGCTGTGCGGATGTGCCTGATCCTCCGGATAGTCCTTCCACGGTGGCGTCTGCGTGTAGAAGCTGCTCTGCTGGTGAATTCCCGAGTCCAAGTTGGCCGGCTGCAGATTGGCAGCTGCCTCGAAGGAGCCCCTGAACAGATCGTATTTCTCCTGCGAGAACTGCTGCGGGCTGGACTCCTGGCGGGGATTAGCTGGCTGCAGATGGTGAGGTGGCTGCTGTTGTTGTTGTTGTTGTTGTTGGTGGTGGTACAACCGCATGCTGCCGGTGAAGTCGAATCCTGGCGGCTGCTGCTGCTGCTGCTGCTGCGGGTAGTCCATGCCCATACCCATGGCCATGCTCTGCTGGAAGCCACCCATCGCCGGCTGATGGTCCGTCGGCGGAGCAGACTGACTCTGGCCATAGGGAAACATCCGGCCACAGCCGAACATGGGATAGGGCTGCGGATTCACGAACAGCGCATCGAACAGCTCCTTGGTGATCCGCTCGCCACTCAGCGTGAAGTTCTGCAGCTTCTCCAGGTCCAAATTGATCGAGCCGCCACTCTCCAGCACCTGCTCCAAAGCAAAGATGTAGTTGTGCGCGAAGCGCAGGATCTCGATCTTCGTCAGCTTCGTCTCCTCCGGCAGCGAGGGCAGCGTGACCCGCAGCTTCTCCAGCGCATCGTTCAGGTTGTGCATCCGGTTGCGCTCCCGGTCGTTGGCCTTCATGCGGCGAAACCGCTTGATCCGCACCACCTGGGTGGGACTGCGCGAGCGCGTCACCCGGTTCTTGCCGACGGCATACTTCCGCTTCTGGCGCGGCGCATCCGCATCCTCGGGCGACTTCATCGGCGTACTGGTCAGCGGCGGGTCGAAGGTGCCGCTCGAGGCCCGGCTGTTCAGGTGCTCCACCAGCGTTCTGCCGCTCCGCGTGCTGTGGTTGCTGCTCGTGTCCAGCAGGCCGACGAATCCCGCTCCCGATCCCGCTCCCGTCGGCGGTGAGTTGAGCGGTACGGTGTCCCAGGCGATGCCGCCGGAGTACGGCAGCTGGACCGCCGCGGCAGTCGGCGGAGTGCCGCCATAGCGGTCCTCGAAGTCCAGGCGCCGGCGGGAGCTCAGCTGGGCCTCCGTCTCGAAGCTCTTCTCGTAGCCGCTGTCGAAGGAGGCGTCGTCGTCGTCCTCGTCGAACTCAAAGGACTGCGATCCCGCGCTGTAGGCATTGTAACAGGCCGCCATGATCTCGTTTGTGTTACTAGCTCACTGCGCTTATCCCTTTAGAACATTTCCGATTTTCCGAGAGAGTCGTTGTTTCTTCGTGTCTCGCGTGCCCGCACCAACTAAAAGCTGGCGAGGACTGCGCACCGGTTTTATGCCTTCCCAGCCAGCCAGTCAGCCATTAAGCCCGCCGATTTGGGTCCGGACGGGCGGGTAACAACCCTCGGCGCATTGTCGTCGGTCGTGGCGGCGCCATAACGCAGGGCAGAGTATAGAGCACAGAGCATAGAACCCTGGACGCAAATCCCAACAGATATGCGCCGTGATTGCCGCCTGGGGGTGGCTTTTGCCCACTCGCACACACACACACAGACGTCATCTAGCCGGGACTCCAGGGTGCGGGGTGCACTGCGGGGAGAGGGGAATTCGTTCTGCAGGCAGCGCTACCAGTCAAAATACAAGCATTCTTCACGCTCTGCTGGCAAGCGGCGCTCTCTAAGCCAATCGGAAGGATTGGATGTCTGGGTCCGAGGATCAGCGATGTCGCCGACGGCATCATCAAAGTTCCCAACTGGTTTCCATACCCTTCCTTGGGAGTATTCAAATATTTAGTGTTAAAGATAATGCTTGCGAAAGTTCAACATTTACAGTTTAGTGTCTTAAAGAAATAAAAAGAAATTTTTTAAATGTACAATGCAGGTATTACGTTAGAAGAATTTATTATCAGGGCCATATAAAATGTATATTTTGACTTGAAGAATTTATATCAAATTATTAAAACTAAAACTTAAATCAAAATATGTAAAATTCTTAATTTAAATTATGTTTTTCTTAAGTGGTTTCTTCTTTTAAATACAAATTGAAATGATGATAATTTTTAATTTTCGAAACTGAAATTTTATTAGATTGAGCTAAAAAGTTTGATCTCGAAAAATATGCAATTCTGATTTTTTAAATACAATTGAGTTTTTTGGAACAGCCCTAAAAACGTGCATTAAATACGGGGTTTAAGGTATTATTAATCTTACTGATATTTAAATATTCATTTATCATGTTTATTAATAGTTATATTATCGACCAAAAGGATTATGTCCTTATAACTTCATAGCCCAGATTTATATCTAATTTTAATATACCAAGAATATATAGTTTGTCCACTTCTGAAACCTATTGAGAGTATATGGATATCGAGGCCTAAATAAATATTGCTGTATTTTATCGCAACATCGAACTTAGGTGCGCTTAATGCGATTGCCAGTCAAACGATTCAATTACTCGCAACTCTTTCGCTTTTCGCCACCAAACCGCAATAATCGTTTAGGGCTTACGCCTGTCGCTAAACGGGTTAGAGGCACGTGGCCAAGACCCCGCCTCCTGCACTTCCGAAAACGCAACATGTGTAGTCGGCCGGAAGCCTCACTCCTTCACTCCTCAACTCCACTACTGCGCCAATCCTCCTGATCCGAATACCCAGGCGTCGGCACGTGCCGTGGTCTTAACGGCTGCTCAAGTGGCCAAGTGTGCCGATGTGGATGTCCTATCTGCGGCCAAACTGCTGAAGGAGGATAAAGGATGGCGGATGGAGGATGGAGGATCGAAGTTGCAGTTTCAAGTGGCCGACGGGTGCCACGTGCGGATTTGTTGTGATATCCGGCCATCGTCGCAAATTGCCAGCACGAGCGAGCACTCGAGGGTGTCGTCAAGGGGGCTAATTTGATAATGTGCCATATTTCAGATTTATGAACTACCGATTGCTGTCTAATGGGTATTAATTAAGTGCTTCCGTTGAATAAATATCTACTATTATTGTGAATTTATAGCACTTAAACATAACGTGGTATTCAAATTAATATAACATTAATTCGGGTACTACAGAAATCTCCTCCAACCAAGACTATATACAAAACGTTAGAAATTAATATAGTATTGTATATTACAGATATTTAAATATATATTTACCCTTGCTGTTATACTTAAAAATGACAGATATTGTTTAAATAAACTTTATTTGTAAAATGCTAAAGAATATCTACTATCCGCTGGATTTTCTAACATGATTTGTTTGCACAGAAAAAAATACGATTCGCTAGCTTTCGATGTGACCAATTAAATTTAATAGAATCAAACTGATGGATAGACGGAGTTCACCTGCCTGTCAAAAATACATATATCCTTTATTCCAAGCAACTAAACTAAATCTAAAGACAAAACCTTATTAAATGTACAATAAAATATACATTTATATAAATTTCAGTTATGGCAAGGATTTTTATTGTATACAATTTTTAAACAAAAAACATTATTAATTTTCTTGTCGCAAGATAAGTAAACTGATAAATAATACATTTTATATACAAAAGGATTTTCATGCTTAATTGCAAATTTGTAAATTTGTTAAACTCTTAAGCAGTAATAATCCTAACTTATTTGAGGTCATAGTGAGCTACGAACTATTAACAATTTCCCATACACTTATGCACATGAGTTTCCCTGCCCAGCTTTTCCACCCCAACCCATTGGTCATTGATATATGTATATATTGCCACCAAAGTTCACACCAACAGCCACGTGTCGCCGGCGTCGTCATCCATGTTCAAGAGCTCCTCCGACGCGTGTAGCTAATTTGGTTTTTTAGAACCACAATGCATATCAATTAGCCAGTTAATTGAAGAGCGGATGCGTTTGCTTTTTCCATTGATTTCCATGGCACAGGACTCGACGAGAGTTCTTTTTTTTTTTTTGAGGCCCGCGGGCGTCGTCACAGTCCAAATAAAACCGAAATACAATGCCCGAGCCGGCGACTTGGACAAACAGATGTACACGTACATAACTTCATCAGAATCCGGGCTCGGTGCTGGCCAAAGCAAATACCAAAATGTGCCCCGGGCTAATTGCATTCTAACAAGCGAGACAAATTCGATTTTCCCAGCTATGCTCCGTCTTCCTCTCTCTCTCTCTCTCGCTCCGCTTTTCCAACCCCTCTCCTCCATTCGTTCCGAGCACGTAGAGCCTCGCCTGCGGCTCGGCAGCAGTCTGGCCGACTTGTCAAGGACGTGCTAGAAGGGAACGATTTCCTCCTCGTACAGCGGATCCATTTCCATCACCTGTGAGAAGTGAATCATCGGATGGCTGCCTCCTGGCACCGGTGAGCTGGAGGACAGCGAGTCCGAGGACAGCTCGATCACGTCTGGCGGATAGGAAGGCGTTCGCCGAGCGATTGCTTGTGTCTTGCACCTGGGCCCGCCTCCTCCACGACCCCGTCCGCGTCCACGTCTTCGGGTGGTGGAAAACGCTGGCGGCACGTCCTCCAGATCCGTGGAGGAGTCGGATGTTATGTGCTTGAAAATCGGCTTGGCCTCCATGATTCGCGGCGATGGCGTGGACGACGAGGATGGGGCCGGCGAGTCCGATGTGATGTGCACGAACTTCTTGAAGCGCCTCTTATTCTTGCGCACATCGGAGCTGTGCGAGGATGCATTGCTGTCCTCGGTGTGGGAGCGACTCTGGCTCAGCAGGCTGGCGGCGATTCGTCTCTGCTTGCGCAGCGTCTGCTCGCGATAGTAGTCCGCCAAGTTGGTGCGCCTTATGCGCACCCGCACTCCGCGCAGCTTCTCAATGTCCTGGACTGTCAGCATGTTCAAGCACACCTGGACCGGACGGGTCAGACACTCGTGGATGAGGCGCTCCCTCTCCTCTGCTGAGGTTTCTCCCAGAATGGTATTTGGATGGAGTGCCTCGTCCAGTTTCAAGCGCTTGCATTCCGATTGCCGTTCGGTTTCTTCGTATCGCAAGGTCTCTTCTGCGGTGTCCGTTTCCGTGTCCGTTCCGGTAAGCTGTTTGTTTTCCACGATTACCGTGACTTTTGCCGCCATTTGCGGTAACTGATTGTTAAAGAGCTCCTCCTTTTGCTGCCTTGTTTGCGAGAGATCGCCGACTAGCTGATTACTGGTTACCTGTACCTCTTTAGTCAGTGGTCCAGTTTCTAGAACCTCTTCTTTTAGCTCTCTAGATTCCATGACCTTAACTCTTTCCAAAACCTCTTCATTTAGCTGTCTTGTTTGCCGGACTTCTCCTAGTAGCTGTTGGGTTTCTAAGGCCTCATCTTTTAGCTGCCTAGTTTGTAAAGGCTCCTTACTCCCCTTCTCCTCCATTGACGCCTGCTTTACTTGTGCAGTTTCTAGGGGCATCTCGACCAGCTGCGGCTCACTTTCTTCGGCGGGCTGCAACACTTCAGTCGTCATGGTAAAATCTGGCTTGGGCGGCGGCGAAGGCGTTAGCTCTCTACTTACACCGGGGGAATCGTTGTCGTAGGTGTCCTCGTTGAAGTCGTGCGTGGCCATTGTGGATGTTTCAGAGTTAACGCTCTCGGTTTCCGATCCAGTGGGCACCATCCTTCCTGTTGGCTGTGGAGCTGGCTGCACGGGCTGCTTTGCCGCTGCCGTCAGCTTGAGGTTCTTCAAGTTCTTGAACTTGCTGAGCACCGAGCTGCACTCCATCAGATTGTTGCCCTCGCTGGCCACGTTCTGCAGCTCTTCCTTCTCGAAGCTCCAGATGTCGGCGAAGGCCTTGAAACCGCCGGTTTCGTTGCTAAATTTGGTGCGTGCCTCCATTAAATCGCTAATCGTGCGCTTCTCCTCACTGACAGCTGCCTCTTTTGGGGATGCTGGCTGCGATGGCTTGCCTTCGATCTCTGGCTGCGTCTTGAATTCGAGCTCCAGGTCTGATTTAGCTTCTGATGTCTCCGGAGAGCTCGATCGTCGGCCACCGCGCATACTGCGATCCATGTCGGATAGCATCGCATTGGCCACCATGGCAGCTGCTCTGATCCGAGTCCGGCGGCCATTGCCCGTGTAGTAGGGCTCCGAATCGCTCGAGGCAGCCTCCTCCTCGTCTTCAGAGAACACTAGAAGGGAATATTAAATGAATAAGGTTATGCAAAGTTTGTTAAAACTAATAAAGCAATCTTCTACAAAATATAAGATTTACAGAGAGATATATATAATTACTCATAGAAATAAAAAAGTGTTTCTACTGAGAAAACCATGACATGCTCACCCTCATCCCAGAACTTGCGCCTAGCGGGTCGCCGCTTTTTTTGCTGGGTTGCCT